CTGTAGTGAGACTGACCCGCTATGGCTGTAGTGAGACTAACCCGCCATGGTTGTAGTGAGACTGACCCACCATGGTTGTAGTGAGACTAACCCGCTATGGCTGTAGTGAGACTAACCCGCCATGGTTGTAGTGAGACTAACCTACCACCACGGTTGTAATGAGACTAACCCACCGTGGTTGTAATGAGACTAACCCACTGTGGTTGTAGTGAGACTAACCTACCACCATGGTTGTAGTGAGACTGACCCACCATGGTTGTAGTAAGACTAACCTCCTATGGCTGTAATGAGAGTAACCCGCTATGGCTGTAGTGAGACTAACCCACTATGGCTGTAGTGAGACTCACTCGCTATGGCTGTAATGAGACTAACCCGCCATGGTTGTAGTGAGACTCACCCACTATGGCTGTAATGAGACTAACCTACTGTGGTTGGCTGTTGTTCAGTTTTCTCTTACCCACATTGGTTAAAAAAATAGATCTTGCAGTTGACTGTCAGTAACACATAAAGACAGACGAGTAAGCTACTGTGCTGTGGATTTCCTCATTTGCGTGTGGAATAGCACTTGGAGCACACCAACTAGCCTTTTAGCCTGTTACCTAGTACATACTAAGTCTGTACTCTAATGCAGAGGACAGGTTCCCAGTAGTTATATATGTATCACACAGACAGCCCACCTGCTTCCGAAGAGTGTAAATGAATGTGGCCTGCACATTCTCTTATGATTCTGTTTTAATGTTGGTTCCTCCAAAGCAGACTTTTGGTTTGTATCTTCTGATCTTGATAGTCATACTCTGCTTATCAATTTTTCATTCTTGGATTTTATTTTACGCTGAGCATTGCTGATTTGAAGGTTATGGCCTGTTGAATCAAGTTGAGTGGTGGATACTCATGGCGGTTTGACCAGCTCTTGTGGAGAATTCCGGAGCATCGCGTGTCACTCTGTGACTCTATGGTTCGCTAGAACCACTCTGGCCGTCAGTAGGTGTGCCACAGAAGCAAGCTGAGGGTTCACTTTTATATACAGTAGAAGGAGTTCTGTTTTGGTCTGGTTATCTGCCTGTGGAAGGTTCTCGTATTCTCCGAATCTGCAACTTTTAGATAATGCATGGATTAACTGAAGCAGACCCTCTCTGCCCACTACGGATGTATGATATTCACCTTATTTTCTGTTGTCCACATTGTAGGTGCGCATGTGACTATCACGGATCGACAAGTAGCATTAGAATTTCTCAAGTCAAATGTTGAAGCCAACTTACCTCCCCATATCCAGCCCAAAGTTGTTGTTAAGGAGCTGACTTGGGGACAAAATTTGGGAAGTTTTTCGCCTGGAGAATTTGATCTCATACTTGGAGCGGATGTCATATACTTAGAAGATACCTTCACAGATCTTCTTCAGACCCTGGGGTACCTCTGCAGCAACCACTCTGTGATTCTTTTAGCTTGCCGAATTCGCTACAAACGGGATAATAACTTCCTAACGATGCTGGAGAGGCAGTTTGCTGTGCGGAAGGTTCACTACGATCCCGAGAAGGACGTCCACATTTACAGAGCACAGAAGAGAAGCCAGAGGGAGGACTTGTAGGGCTCTATTTCCTAAGAATTGAATGTGTCAGGTAAGGTCTTAGAACTCCCGTATGGTGGACTGCAAGTCCATCCAACCAGAGCTGCTCAAGAACACAGCGCGTGTGTCGCATTGCCATCACCGTGTGTCACGACTGCTCACTGCTGAGCAGCGAACGCACATGTGAGGTTTGCCTGGCGTTCTTTCCTTAGCCAGTGTGCGCACTTGGTAAGCATTTCCCACTAACGCTCTGAAAAGAATGGTGCAAAGGTGTCTTTAAATTGGAGAGATTCAGCAGTACATTCTGGGCTGTACGTTTGTCTCGGTTTTCTCATCTGCTGAGTGTAAACCAAGTTTACTGCATATATTGCTTTAATGTTTGTGCTGTTGAAGTCTCCTACTCTTCTTATGAGATAAGGCCTTACTCTAGCCCTGGCTTGGTCTAGGGCTGTCGACCAGGCCTACCTCAAACAGTGATTCTCCAGCCTCTGTCTCTGCGTGCTGGGATACAGGTGTGCCACGGCACCCGGATTACCATTTAGTTCCTAGGCCTTGAGATGCGGATGAGTTCTGTCAGCAGATTCAAGGGTAAGAATGTAAGCAAAGGAATAAAATTTTTTACATTTAAAATTACATAAAACTGTGGCCTGAAATTTTCCTCCACAACAATGCCTTGTTTCAGCTTTGCTGTTTCTTGCTGTGGTTGTCTCTGTTTCTTAGGTGTTTCCCCCGTCTTTTATGTGTCAGTTCTGAAAAGTTAACTCTCATTTTATGAACGTTTTTGTGCCTGTACTCACTCCTCGGATCTCGGGCTCCCTGTGGGCTGCAAGCTGCTGGAGGCCTCTTTGACTTTCCTTCCCTTAACCCAGTAAGAAGCATATAACAAGTGACCAGGGTAAAGGCCATGAGCGGCCACTGATGTGTGGTGCCAGGGAGCAAACCCAGGTCATGCACACACTGGGCAGACACTAACCCCAAGTTACTACATCCCAAGCCAGAAGTTACTGGTTTTTGAGTTTTCTCTGGGTAGACTTTGTGAATAAAGTTATCAAAACAAGCTTTTCTTTTACATTTAACTAAAAATTTAAGCAGTTCAGACAATGGCATTTGGTAATAGAAATGTGTTGAACTTGTTGTATACACTATTCAAGGCCTCATTTTCCTTTAATAAATATTTTGGATATGAGAATATCTTACATTGTCTTCTATATCCTTTAAAAATGGTAGTCGTATTAGTCAGGGTCCTCTCTAGAAAAACAGAACAGGGGAGGGGAAGGGAAGGAAGGAGGTGGGGAAGGGACGGAAGGAGGTGGGGAGAGAGAAGAGGGTATCAGAGTGGCTTACAGGCTGTGTGGTCCACCTAGTCCCACGATAGCTATCTACTAATGGAAAGTCCAAGAATCCACTAGCTGTTCAGTGCACAAGACTGGATGTCTCATCTGGTTTTCAGTACATGCCAGAATCCCAAAGCAGGAGGTTCTAATGGCAGTGAGGGAGTGGACTTGTCCGTGAGATTGACGCCAAGCAGGCAGAGAGACAGGGAGGGTCGCCTTCTTCCGTAGGCGGTCACCAGAAGCTGTGGCGCAGATTAGGTGGATCTTCCCATCTCAGAACATCCAGATTTAGGATGAGTCTTCTCGCATCCAGTGATTTAACAGAAAAATCCCTCACAGCTATACCCAGCCCCTTTGGTTTTAGTTAATTTTAGGTACAGTTAAAAGTTTTAATAGAGCTGAGCTAAAAGCTGTGGGCATTTGATGATGTCTGTTTCTGGGAACATCCATAGCTGACTGACTGAAATACCACTGCACCATGACATCGACACTCTCCGAAACAATGACAACCTGACAGAGTCACCACCGTTGCAATGAAAACCCAGTGCTGCTAATAGTGACGTTCAGTCCTTTAAGATCGCAGACCCTGGGGAAAGATAATGAAGCCAGGTGGGACGGGCTGGGCAGCTGAGACACCTGCTGCTCTACCAAGTCCGCCAAGCGTTTAGCAGGCTTCATGGTGTTTTCATAAAATCTATGGGTCAGAAAAGGTTGAAAGTACTGTGTTGTGTGATGTATTCTTTTGGTTTTGGGGCGCCCACCACCACCCAGCTTCCAAACGAATCATTCACGGTGGCCTATTCTTAGTTATGAACGCTTGACCTTAGCTGCCTTGTTTCTAGCTATCTTTCCTTAAATTAACCCGACCACCTTTTCCCTCTGGGCTTTTATCTTTCTTACTTTTGTATATCTTACTTTCAGACTTACTCCATGACTGATTGGGTGGCTGGTCCTCTTTCTAGTTCTCCTTCTATTTATCCTCTCTGCCTGCCAGCCCCGCCTGTCCTTGCTCCTGCCTCGCTACTGGCTGTTCATCTCTTTATTAGACCATCAGGTGTTTTAGACAGGCTCGGTAACACAGCTTCACAGAGTTAAACAAATGCAGCGTAAACAAAAGGCACACAGCAGAAGATAATATCCCCAACAGTACTGCCATGCCTCCCTTTGTTCTACAAATAGTGTGTGAGTAGAGAAAGAGAAAGTGAAAGTCAAGCTCTTTTATTGGTTTAGGTTTGGAATATTTTCCAAGTCAGATTCCGTGGGGGCACAGACACACACACGCACACACAGACACATACATGTGTGTGAGTGCCTTTACATCTCTGTGTGGTCTGGCCATTAGCTATAAGGGGCAAAACCTTGGGCTGAAGAAAATACCTGTAGGGAGATGCAATTGTCAGAAAATTTATTCTTTTACATAGATAGCAGAATTGTAATTTGTCCAAGTAAATGGATAGAATACTAGATTTTAATAACTGGTGTTTTAATTATATGTGCCTGTGTACAGGTAGATACATGCTAGTGTGTACAGAGGCTGGAGTTGTTGGATTCCCTGGAGCTAGAATTCAGGTTATTGTGAGCTGCCTGGGTACTGGGAGTTGAACTTGGTCCTCTGAAAGAGCAGCAAGTGCTCCTTACCCGAGCCACCTCTCCAGCCCTGAACACTAGATTCTTTGGGGGATAGAATCATGACTGTTGTCCAGGCTGACCAGGGACAGCTTTTCCTTCCACCTCCCCAGCAACAGGATTACAGATGTGTGCCATCACTCCCTGCTTGCCTGTGATATTCTCAGCAGATACAATTTATTCTGGAAATACAGCATACCACTAAATTTTAGGTGGTCATAAAGGCAGCTCGATAACACTGATCCGTAAACAAAGAGACCACTGTGGATGATTTACCTAAATGAATCACTTCATTTCTGCTTTTTCCCCCTCTCCTTCCCCAAGGTATATCTCCAAGAAACAGGTTTGCTTCTGCCTCCCAAATGCTGAGACTAAAGGTGTGCACCCCCACACTAGGTTCCATCATTTCACTCTTGAAATCTGAGCAATTTAGTAAGTGTGGTTCTGTAGAAGGGAGAAACAGAACTCCAAGTGACTCAAGCTTCAAGACTGCATTTAATGAACAGGAAACATTACACAATTTACGACTAAAATGTTAACTTTTTACAAGTTTCAGAATTTACCGCAGAGTATTACAGGGATCTTTTATTCTTAGTTCTTTGGCAATGGTAGCCATACCCACCCCAGAACTCCCTTGTTCATACCCTTCTTCCCCCAGGACCTCACTGGAGATAGCCCAACCTAGCCTTTGGTTCTGCCTCCCGTGTTCCTGAGCCTGGAATTACAAGAGCATGCTGCCATACCCACCGTCTGTTGCAGTTTACGTATTCAGAATAAAGGTGGTCTGCCAAGTTCGCTATTGTTCGTTGATGCACACGGTTCCTGACTAAGCTGCTGGACATGCCTCTATGAGTTACTCAACAGGACAGCAGCACTCGCAAAGCAACAGGCCAAGTGAGGACTGCAGCAGAATCGACTCTAGGTGTGTTGTGTGAATTACAGTGCTCTGTTGCTAAGCATTGCAAGCCTGTGATATATTCAATGAGATCTTTGCTCATTTCAGAAAATGAATAAACTCAAGTCAAAGAAAACAGGTAAACACACGCACTACCTGGGGAAGAAAGAGAGAGAGAGATCCCGGCCCAAAAAAGAGACTTTCCAGAGTTTTAAAAGCATGTTTATGTGTCTGCACATAGATGTCTGTGTAAAAAGGGCATTTTGACAGTTGATACCACAAAGATTACAGTAAGAAAAGCACTTTATGACAATATTTCACAAATTCACAAGGATCACTTCAATATACAAAGCAACCGCTACCATTCTGAACACAAAGCAGCCAATATGTACATAGTGTTAATAAAATGCATGGTATCTTGGTATTTTTATTCTTTACACATAAAGCACAAAAAGATTTAGGTAAAAAAATTTAAACAGGGATGTTTCTAGATTGTAAGGAATTTTCATTAGAAATGTATTTTCCTCCTCATAGTTATTAGTACTCAACTCCAATAGAAACATCAGAGTTAAAGGCTGATACCCTGTTTTGTGCTGACAGTTCTAGGGGAGGTATTCTCTACTCCAGTACTCAAGGAAAAACCAAAAAGCCAGACATCCTCCTAGGACTTCCCTAGTTATTTATCTTTTCAAGAATTTCAAGTGACACGTCCAGGCTGGGAATGATCCTTCCTTGTAATCCCTTGGGGGCATTATAACCTATGTGCACAGATCAGCTAAAGACAGCTTTACACAGAAAACTGCTAACTAACACACTTAGCCATCCTAATAAATCTACACGCACAGAAAAAATGTTGACAAATTTCCCACTTTTAATATAAATAACTTTATTACATACATATTGAAGTGGCACCTGGGTAAAAATACGTCTATAAAGCATTTACCAATTTAATTTTAAAAAACATAAGAAAATAAAACCTCCCAAATATAATAAATCATTTCATGTGGCCAACATAGATCATGATCTGCAGACTCTTCTTCCCTACTGTTCTCTTTTTCAACATCTCGGATTTCCTCTCATCTCTGATGCTCCTCAGACAGAAGCCTAGAAACGCTGTACTTCTATGGGCAAGTAGTGACTCATACCTGGGAAGTACGAGTTGCTACTGTTGGGCCCTTCTCACATACTTCCTATAGATTGATCATCTTCCTCTGGACCTGCCCCCACAAGTACCAGAGCGAGGACTGGCCAGCATTTGTTCTGCCTGTTCTTACACTGCCAACTTGCTTCCCAAACTTTGCTCTCTTATTTATTTTTTTAATTTTTCTTTTTTTAAAAAATAAATTTCAAGCTAAAACACCTGAAATATAATTCCTCCATTCAAATGTTTCTGGTCCTTATGAAAGTGTGTCTGCCCCTCAGGACACACAAAGGCTGCAGGCTACATTCACTCACCAGGAGCACACCACGTGAGGGTGAGTCAGCCGGAACTTCAGCACCCTGTTTTATTTGTTTGAAATTCTTCCACACTGACTCAACTTCATGATATGCTCGACCCCTCAAGGATTACACGCCTCTCTCGGCCATTGATAAAGAAAGTCAAGGAAACCAGTTCCTGGTACATAACAGTGACTGTTAACCGAAGAGTCAACATTATTAACATTGAAAGTAATCAAGACACACACAAGCCACCCACCAGAGACTCTAGTTGTGCTTTGTACAACTGTGGACACGCTTATTCTACAGCACTTCCCCTGTGCAGGCCCCATCTGAAACCAGTCAGGTTTAGGCAGCATTTCTTTGACGTTAAAGCCAAATTTAATATGAAAATAATTTAGTAACAATGATTATTACAGGGTTTCCCATGATGAAAATAAGTTAACTGCTTTAACAAAGTTCATAATATTCTGGAAAAATTTCTGGTATACTCTACATAGAATGTTGGGGTGAGAATGAAATTTAAAGTATTTTTCCTTCAATATTTACTCATGATGAAGAAGTCTCAGCTCACATTTTAATTTACTGGCCTAGCCACATCTAATTCCCAGATATTTAGTTTTTATAACATGCTTTAGACTAGCTACGATATTGTAGTCAACCAAGAGCTTCCATTAAGGAGTCATGTCTGAAGAGAGGAGGAAGACAGGAGCGTCACTGGACAGCTGACCAATGAGGGAATTTCCCAAGTTGCTGATACCCAAACTGGGTCAAAAAAAAAAGTGCAAGTGACAGCGACCATTTACAAAGAACTCCCAAGGAAATATACAACCTTTGTATTGGGCCCCGGGGAATGATATGCCAATAGTTTTTCAGTGTTACAAAGGCAAAATAAAGCCTCTGAAAGGAGCTGAAAATGACACAGCTATTGGTAGAGAAACAAACCCGTGTTACTAGCTTGACTGGAGTTGGCAGAGAAGGAGAGAGACAGAGTCTAGAGTCACCCGGGTTAGACAACTCCATTGGTTTCTAAGTCCCGGTCCTTGTTTGATTCCACGTCACCCTAAATGGTGGAAACCAGCAGGGAGGAGTCCTGAGAGACAGACAAACTTCAGCCAGATGACTTGTGACAGACAGCCTGCCTGACTGGCTTTGTGCTTTGGACACTAGCACTGCTTGCTGACCTGCCATCAAAACACATTCCTGACAAATTCCCTGTTCAAAGGAAACACCAGAAGTCTTTGCCCAATATGATTCTCAAAAAAAAAAAAAAAAAAAAAAAAAAAAAAAAAAAAAAGAAAGAAAGAAAAAGAAAAAAAATCTTTTAAAAGCTATGTTCACAATGTTCTTACCAATTTTATAGCTGCCAGAAAGAAAGCAGGAAAGAACAAACACGGGAAAGCTTTGGGGGTCAGGAGTTTTCAAGTGACTGGTAACATACCCAAAAGCATCAAGCCAAAGAAAACTAATAAAAAACTGGAAGAAAAATAAAGGATAAAAACCAGTTATGAGTGCTGGAGTAATACAGTCACTGAAACCAGCAGAAGAGATGCAGGAGAATGCACAGAAGTGTGGAATATTATCTGACCTCAATATGCTACAAAACTCAGCATTCCTGACATAAGAGCTCTCCGAGCATTCTGATGATATACTGTATGTATGTATGTATGTATGTATGTATGTATGTATGTATATATGTACATATATATTACAAAATGCCATTCCCCACCCATTCTTTAACATCTAAACAAGCACAGCACCTATGACAATATGATGGTTACTAATACGGTACTTGCTTTTGTTAAAGAAAGAACTTAAATTTTATCTCATATTTATGAACATATTGGATCTAGCCCTTTCTAAACCACTTTTCCATTAAACACTATCAAAGCTTGAAAACTCAGAAGAGTAATATATCAAAAATAAACCCCTCCCCATTTCATTTTTATTAGAGTTAATCTGTCCTATAGATAAAAGTGCCATATGGCCCTAAATATGCAAAGTGAGCAATACCAAACTTGCTATTTTCTAGGCAAATCAGTAGCATATGTACAGATTCCTATGACAGCATTTTCATTCCCTTTTGGCCAATATCAAGAGAAAAACATCACTGGTAATGTGGCCACATACAATCTTGGATATAAGCGTTTTTAAAAAATTATGTTATTTTCTTAATAAAGATTCTCCAAGTAGCTCAAAAACAAAGTTTTTTCTAATTCTCATATTTAAAAAAACAGCTTGCATTAAAGATGCATGATTTCTTTCTGTATAAACTGAAATCTTCAAGTCAGATTTAGCAACATCACATATTTCTCACCTTATTAAGTAACCAGCCTCAAACCAGTACAGCTGTGCTCCAGGCACAAGGGCCCAAGCCTCTTCCAATTCATCCAGCTAGTAAGTGTGCCTGAGACTGCCTTGGCTTATAAAGCACTAAGGAGACCACTGTAGAAAGCCTCAGCTTTTGAAGACAGACACCTAGAAAAGAATACGTCTTCTACACACTGGGCAAGTTTTTCACTTGTGACATTTAAAATGTTCAATCTGACATCATGACTTAATGTGAAGTAGTTCCGGCTTGTCAACAGATTTGTTATTTTGCTTCATATCTGTTTAACCAAGTTTAGCAAATGATACATCTACGTGCTGGTACCCACACCGTTTGTATGCTATCTCCTTCCCAGTAAGCTCAGCAGGACAAACATCAAACTTTACAGCCGTTTGAAAGCCTTCTTGAGACTCTGGTGAACTGTCCAAACACAAGGATTACATCACTCAAGCCTTAGAATGATGCTCCTTCACAAACTGTTCATCCTTTAAAAAAGACAATGGTTTGTTATAAACAACATACAACATTTACAGATAGTAACCTAAAGTCTTATTTTAAAAAATGGGCCAAATAATTCATGCTCAAATGTATATACTGACATTAAAACCAGTTTTCTTAATATCCCATGAGAAAATATAAAACAACCTTCTGAGTCCAAGTTCTTCCTCACACATGAAGTAATCTAGCATACCAGCCTCAACCTTCCTCATGTTTGTCCTTTAAAGAGTAACTTTTAGATCGTATCAGACTTTGTGACTAAAATGAGTTATTACTAGGTCTTATCAGAAACAACATTACACATAAATGCAGACCATTGAGTCAGGATTTAAGTAGGGAGCTTCTTTAGAGACAATAGAATAGCTACTGGATAACTAAGGCAGTACCACTTTTTATGGGAGAAAAAGATTTTTGCCAAATGCTGTGCCACAGCAGACAATCCAATGTCTGAAGAAAACTGCTTTTCTTTGTGCGTTTATACTACATTTAGAGCCACCTCAGATTCCCTGATCTATTTGAGTACAGAAAGGGTTGTAATTGGGTTGTTTCTCTAAAGTAATCACTTTGCTTGGGCAGCTTGAACATTTTCCTGTTGGCACAGTAAATGCAACAGTGAATTAGAAATAGCTCTTTAGGTAAATGAGGGACAATATGAGGGTTTTGAAAGCAAGGACAAAAGCTTTTATTTATTAAAACCTTCTATATAACTAAGGAGTTGGCTTCCTGTCCAGCATCTGTTCATTAAGATTTAGTACTAACCAAAATAAGCTTTGTACTTGGATTTTAACTTAACTCAAAATTCAAATACCGTCCTTGTTTTCAGTTGGTTACTTCTTTGAATGTATTCAAATTATTAAACACATAGAACTGGATTCAGAAGTAACAAATGCCCTACAGGACAGCTGTGGCGAATACAAAATGCTTCTCAGAACCAAGGACAACTTTTAGTATGGAAGAAAAGAACACAGTCTAATCCTCAACACCAAACTAAAATTCGTTTTTAGAGGGCCTGTCTCTGAATAGTTTTACATAATTCACAATGAAACTGTAAAAAACCTCAATTTGGCATCAACACCTCATTGTACCTCACTTAATTTCCTTATGTGCCTCACACATTACTTCAGCTCAAGAGGCTGGGTAGTTCTACCCTAAGATAATCATGGACCTCATCACAAACCTTGAAATCATTAAAAATAAACAAAACAAAACAAAACCCACTAAAAACCAAAGAGCCAAGATTTCATTTTCCTCGTTTCCCCCAACAATTTACAAATAAACAAATTATTACTTCTTGAGGAGGCGGGAGATGGGGAGCAGAAGTCTTCATGATTCCTGGTGCCGCACAGTCTTGAGGGAGAAGTGGAAGCAGGGGCTGGAACATTCACAGTTTAATGCAAAAGCAGAAATGGATGAAATTCTGTAGTTGCTTTCAGGCAGTTTTGCGCATAGAAAAAAAAGAAATGTTTAGAAAATAAATGTTTATTTTGTCTTTCTGGTTGTGGCCAATCCAGTCCATTTTCCACCATACCAGGTGAAAATTTAAATCCCAGATTAATCTGATTTGTGGCAGTAGAGGTCCTTAAGTGCTTTCAGCTCCTCGATCAAGGTCTTGTTCTGGTTCTCGAGCACCGCCACTCTGTTCTCTAAACATTTCACGTATTCCTTCTTCTTCCTACGACATTCTCTTGCTGCTTCCCTAAAAATGAAGACACAAAAATTTATGTTCACTAGTTTTAGAATATAATGTTTTCCAGAGACACAGCTGAAATGAACAAATAGTCAGTATTGCACATACAATAAATATTCAGTAAATGATGTTGAGGTTATCAGTTGGTGAGATGGCACGTATATAGTGGCCTATATTGCCAACCTGAGTTCAACCCCTAGATTCCACGTGGTAGAAGGTAAGAACCTATTCTTTTTCTTTACACATGTACTTGCACACACATGAAATGTAAAAACATTCTTTCAACTAATTAAAAAATGTTTTTGGGAGCTATTTAGGGAAATAGCTCACTCAGCAGGCAAAGGGCCAGATATACTAGCACTGGGACTGGATTCATAACCCTAGCACCCTGGTAAAGAGCCAACAATGGGATGGGACAGAAGACAGAAGGATCTGTGGAGTGAATCATATGTAGGCTAACTGCAGATCAGATCTCCCCATCTCCAAATCCAATCCCCCAGTCTCATCCACAGCTCTGTATAGAATACCAGCTGAGGCTCCCTGCACCCCTGGTCCCATCTTCACTGGATCCCACAGATCTCCCCCTCCCCATCTTCTTCCCTCCCCCCACCTCATTGCTGCATCCTAGACACCAACTCCTGGGAATTCCCTGGGAATCCATAGACCATCCTGACCAGAAAAACAGGTAGGTTAACTGTAGATCTTTACCCATATCTCCTCTCCCAATTTAATCCCCTAGTCTCATCTATAGCTCTGTAGCAGATCACCTGCTGAGGCCTCCATGCCCCCCACCCATCTCCTCATCCCCCAATATCATTCACAGCTCTGTAGTAGACTATCTCTTAGGGCCTCTCCTCACTCCTTGCCCCATCCCTGAGGACTAAGCAAATCCTGGTGGAACACCCTGCTTTCCTCCTTCCTGTGTACCTTGCCCCAGTCCCATCCTAAGTGTCAGATCCCAATACCTACACATACATTTTACCCAGAACCCCCAGTGGCCACATCCATCAGAATCCCAGAAGAATTTCCTACTAGGCAACATAGAGCAACCACAGTCTAATGTTGCAGGAGCTCTTTCCGCTCCTTCAGCCAATAGCAGCTGAGATATCAGCCCATTGGGGCGTGGTCTCTCTCCCTTTAAAAAAGTCTCAGCCAGTCTCTCTCTCTCTCTCTCTCTCTCTCTCTCTCTCTCTCTCTCTCTCTCTCTCTCTGTAATGGATGGAAAAAAGGCACTGTTGGCAAACAGACCTAAGAAGCAAGCTGGTGTAGCCATTTTAGTACCTGACGAAAAAAGACTTCAAACCAAAATTAATCAGAAAAGACAGGGAAGGAGACTATACACTCAAAGGAAAGAACCCACCAAGAGAACATTGCAGTTCTCAACATTTATATATCAAACACAAGGGCATCCAAGTTCATAGAAGAAACACTTACTACAGCTTAAATCACATACCAAATCTCATAATAGCTGGATAGTGAGAGACTGCAAAATCTAAAAGAGCAATGCTGGTGCTAACCATAGACCAAATGGACCAAACAGATATTTAGAGAACACTTCACCCAAAGACAAAAGAATATACCTTCTCAGAAAATTGATCACAGACTTGGACACAAAGCAAGTATGATATCAGAAAACAGAAATAACCCTGCATCTTCTATGATCACCATGGATTAAAGCAGGACATCAACAACAGAAAGTTTACAAACTCATGAAAACTGAACAACTCACTACTGAATGAAAAATGGGTCAAGACAGAAATTAAGAAAGACTTTATAGAACTGATTGAATGAAAATGAATAAACAACATACTCAAAGGTATGGGACACAATGAAGGTGGCTCTATAAGAGGCAAGTTCATCACTGGGTGATGGTGGTGCAAGCCTTTAATACTAGCACTCAGGAGGCAGAGGCAGGAGGATCTCTGTGAGTTTGATGCCAGCCTGGTCTACAAAAGCGAGTTCCAGGATAGGCTCCAAAGCTACAGAGAAACCCTGTCTGGGGGTGGGGGGCAAGTTCATACTATTAAGTGTCTACGAAAAAAAAAAAAGAAGAAGAAAAGAGCTAGAATATTCAAATTAACAGAATTAAAAATGAAAAGTGGAACATAATAAGACTCTGAGGAAATCAAGAGAATCTTAAGGACATACTTTATTTTATTTTTTGCTTTTTTCAAAACAGAGTTTCTTTGGGTAGCCCTTGGCTGTCCTGGATCTTATGCTATAGACCAGGTTGGCCTCAAACTCAAAGATCTACCTGTCTCTGCCTCCTGAGTGCTAGAATTAAAGGCATTTGTCACCACCACCAGGCTAAAGGCTTTTAATTTTATTTTACGTTTACGATATACTTGAAAAGCAGCTGTTCTATCAAATTGGAAAAAAACTAACAGAAATGGATAATTTTTTTCAATCGGTACCACTTACTAAGGTTAAATCAAGATCGCATATGCAATTTCAGTAGACCTAGAAACCGTAGTAAAATAGAAGCAGTCATTAACTGCCTTCCAATAAAAAAAAAAAAAGAAAAGCCAAGGACTAAGGGTGGTTTTAGCATAGAATTCTACCAAACTTTCAAAGAAGAGTTAATGCCAACATTCCTCAAATTACTCCACAAAACAGAGAAAAAAGGAACACTGCCCAGTTTGTTTTATAAGGCCATATTTACCGATCCCCCAAACACATGAAGACTCAATAAATAAAGAGAATTACAGGCCTATTCCCCATTGTGAACAAAAATGCAAAAATTATCAATAAAATACAAGAACAATAAACCAATAAAATCTAAGAACAAATAAAAAAGATCACCCACAATGATCAAACAGGTTTCACCCCACTGCTGCAGGGATGGATCAACAAATGTAAACATATATATACTCCATCATACAAACAAATGGAAAGACTAAAACCACATCACCATCTCATTAAATGCAGAAAGGCCTTTGACAAAACCCAACGCCCCTTCACAATTAAAGTTCTAGAGAGAACAGGGATACAAGGGACATACCTTTATATAATGAGGGTTTTACAGCTCAAGGCCAACATTATTTCAATGGAGAGAAATTCACGGGACTATTCAGGGCTGCCAAGGGACAGGGATGGGGGTAGTGGGGAGTTGTTTAAGTACAGAGGAAGTTTTAGGGTTCTTGTTTTGAGATAGGCTCTTCTTCTACAGCTCAGGATAGCCTGGAACTCAGTATGTAGCCTGGATTGGTCTCAAACGCATAGCAAACCTTCTACATCAGTCTCCTGGGTAGCTGGGATTACAGGCATGAGTCATCAGATTGAGTGTTTTGCAAGATAAAAATGTTCTGGAAATCTATTATTAAACCATGATGACAATATACACAATATTACTGAACTGTATAAAGTTACAAACGGTCAAGAAATTAAATTCTGCTATGGTGTTTTTTTTTTTTTTTTTTTTTTTACAATGATTAAAACAAAAGTTAGAAAAACCTTAACAGGCTGGGTGGTGGTGGTTTATACCTTTAATCCCAGTGCTCAGGAGGCAGAGGCAGACGGACCTGTCAGTTCAAGGCCAGCGTGGTCTATAGAGGGAGTTCCAGGATAACCAGGGCTGTTACATAGAGAAACCCTGTCTTGAAAAGAGAGAAGAGAGAGAGAGACAGAGAGAGAGAGAGAGACAGAGAGAGACAGAGAGAGACAGAGAGAGAGAGAGAGACAGAGAGAGATTTGATTAAGAGAATAAAAAATTTATCTTTAGCAGGCTTCAAAACAAACCCCAAAGAAGCTACATCTATTGTTCAATGATCCTAACAGTTAAAAGTACAGATTCTAGCTTTGTAAAACAAGAAAAACTGAGCGATTTTAATAAACAATCATTTGTAATGGAAAATAACAAACACACTTTTTATAAATTATCAAGGAAGAGGTATTAATGAGTATAAAAGGTGACAATGTTATATACCTCAAAAGCTTTTACAAGAATATATAAACCAATATATAAAAGACATAAAATACTGCCTACTATGCTATTATTTCTAGATATTTCAAGTGGTACTGAATTTATGATAGATGCAAACATTACAGTAGTACTTAAGAAATTTTCTCCAGAAATAAGACTCAGAAAATTCAACATCCCACTACACAATAAGGAAGGCAAGTAGAGTCCTTTAGGGCCTAGAGGAAGGTGTTGATCTAAAAAAGATTACGGGGGATGAGTTAGAGGTCAATTTAGTCCGTGATTCCCTTTAATCCTTCCACACTACCCACTTTCCCTCTTTTGCCTACAAATTTACCTAAGTTTTAACTTGGTAATGTGATGGTGATACCTGTTTACAAAATCTAGTGCACACGAGGCTGAAGCAGAAGAATGTACATCTGAGTCATACACCAAGCCAAATTGTGCTACAAAATAACATCCATCAAAAATATACCAGGCTAACCTGCATTAATTATTGAACTAAAAACTATGTGTACTGGGAACTGGGGAGATGGTTCAGTTGGTAGGGTCTGTCTTACATATATGGGCACACAAGTATGACCCCAGAGTCAAGTAGAAATGTCAGGCATGATGGTATGCGTCTGTAATTCCGGCACTGGGGAGGTACAGATAGTGGGTACCTAGAGCTTGCTTGCCAGCCGGTCAAGCTTGCCTGATGAGCTCCAGGCCAATGAGAGAAATACGGGTGACACCCGAGAACACCACCAGATTGTGTTCTGGCTCCACGCACAAACAAAGAAAATGTGTATTGTTTCTAGCTTTTGCCTTAGGGTGTAGTGATGTTATAAAGAGGGCTGCTAAAGTTTCTAGCTTTTGCCTTAGGGTGTAGTGATGTTATAAAGAGGTGTAGTGATGTTATAAAGAGGTGTAGTGATGTTATAAAGAGGTGTAGTGATGTTATAAAGAGGTGTAGTGATGTTATAAAGAGGTGTAGTGATGTTATAAAGAGGTGTAGTGATGTTATAAAGAGGGCTGCTAAAATTTAAGAAGACAAAGAGCACATCCTCACTTGGGATAGTGGCAAATGGAGGACAGAAAGTGTATTTTA